CCCCCTTCTGTCCCAGGGTGTGTCTAGAAATGTTGTCTGGGAGCTAGGACCTGGAATGATTCTGACCAGTACCCTGTCCTACTATGGCTGAGCTGGTATCCAAGATGTAAGACAAAATTCTCTTTACTCTTCCCTCTACTCTCCTGAAGCAGAAGGAAGGGGTGTCTTTTGAAGTTGCAAGCTGTGCTGCCTGGGGTTGGGGGAGAGGTGGTACAAGCACTCCCTTAGCTGTGCTGGCTGGTGTCTCAGTAAGTTGTATGCATCTGAGCCCATCTCAGCCCTAGGGTTTGCCTAGAAGGTACAGTCCTTGTGGCCTAGACTGCCTTTCAGGCTTATTTGGAGCCCCAGAGCCCTTTAGCCTACACTGTGAGGCTTGCTAGAACTCAGGTCCTCACCGCTGGAATGGGCGATTCCCCTCTGTCTAGGGCTGGTCTAAATGCTCCCTCCATGGGCATGTGTCAGCTGAGTTCAGCCTGCTTTTGCTTTCTGCTGTGAAAGGGTGGCAGTGAGTTCAATGCAATATCTCACAGTCGCTGCTGTCTCCCTCTCCCAAGCACACAGATTCTCGGTGCCATACGGATGCTGCTGGGGGATGAGGGAGGAGTAGCATTGGCGATTCAAGACTATCTTTCCTACCCTCTTCAGTGCCTCCTTCAGTGGTATGAAGTTAAAACCACGTGCTGTGAGCGCTCACCTGATTTTTGGTTCTTATGAAGGTGTTTTTGTGTGTGTACATAGTTGTTAAATTTGGTGTTCCTGCAGGAGGAATGATCGGTGGAGGCTTCTATTTGGCCATCTTGCTCCACTCCTCTATGTTTTACTATTTTTTTTTAGAAACAGGGTCTCACTATGTTGCCCATATTTATTCTTATTACTGACCATTTGTATTTATTCTTTTGTGAATTCAGGATAATCTTTTGTAAACATCACTTTCATTGTTTTACTTTTCTATTCAAAAACTGGAGTACTGGTCGGGCATGGTGACTCACTCCTGTAATCTCAGCACTTTGGGAGGCTGAGGCAGGCTGATGACATGGTCAGGAGATCGAGACTATCCTGGTTAACATGATGAAACCCCGTCTCTACTAAAAATACAAAAACAGATTTAACCGGGTGTGGTGACAGGCGCCTGTTGTCCCAGCTTCTCCGGAGGCTGAGATGGGAGAGTGGCGTGAACCTGGGAGACGGAGCTTGCAATGAACCAAGATCATGCCACTGCACTCCAGCCTGGGTGGCAGAGTGAGACTCCTTCTCAAAAACAAAAAAAACCCCAGAGTATCATTATTTCATACCCCTGATTTTTAAGACCCTTCATAATTTGACCCTAACCTATTTTTCTAACTTAGTATGGTTCAGCAAGAGTCACTCTACTCCAGTAAGAAATATTTTCTTATTCATATAACTCATTCTGTTACTTTTTTTTCTTGAATTCATTTTAGCAATGTTTTCTTCTGTCTACCCAAAATCTTATAAGGATTCTTTTAACTCATCTTGTAATAAAATTGTAATAAAGTAGCTCAGATCATCTAGCCTTCATCAGTTTCTTCCTATTTGAATTCCCACAGTAACTATTGTTTCTACCACTAGGTTTAGTAGCAAATTATAGACTGCCTTGTGTTTTTAATCAAGTACCAGCTGTGTGCCAGGACACAGCACAGTCTGTATAGCTGTGGACAGAGCACAGTCTTTGTCCTTAAGTTTATAGTATAGTAATGATGCGTTTTCCAGTTATTTGCTTATTAGTGAAGTTGATTTTCTTTTCATACATGTCTGTACATATGAACTACACACATGTTTTTAGGTATATAGTTTATGGGTTCCCAACTGGATTGTAAGATCATAGAGGGCATGAACCATGTTTTATACTTCTCTATTCCTTAAAACACATAACTCAGTTCTGAGCATGTAGCCATTACTAAGTATGTACATGCTCTACTTCTGTAGTAAGAAAAGTTGGAGGCTAGGGAGATACATACCTGGCCTTAAATTATAACTCAAGACCTTATGAGCCAACTGTGCAACGTTTGCAAGTTATGTAGCTACTCTCAGTCTATGTCCTCATAAAGTAAGTATCTGCCTCATGAGGTTGCCGTGTGGGTTAAATAAGATCTATATGTAAAGCATTTAGCGTAATGCCTGGTATAAAGTAAGTGCTCATTAAAAGATACCTGTTATAATAATTTATTTAACCTCTCAAGCTAGAAACGGATTCAGCAACCTTTGATTTCCCCAATCCCTTTCATTTAAGCATTTACCAAATTTTTCTCAGTTTAATTATGTTGTCAATTTAGCTTCTCCTTTTAATCCTAGTTGTAACTCACAATAAGAAATACATTTTATATTGTGGCTTAGAATATACTGTTTATTTGTACATATCTGAAACAAAAGTCTTATGAAATAATATTCATTGTTACAATGTGTGATACACTGATATTTTTTGTTCTATCCTGTGTACTTTTTTAAAAAAAAAAAAAAACCTGGTCACAGTCATTAAAACTGATTTCACAACATATAGTCTGAAATACACTGGGGATTTTTAGAATCTGCAAAATTTCAGCTACCGCTGAACAGAATAATGTTCAAGTGAAAGTTTTCAATGAAATAGAAAACGCAGAGCTTAGAGTTTACTAAGATTCCACTTTGTCTTTGTTCTCTGTTAGTTATATAGTTAGATTTACCTGTGCTCAATCTGGTTTCACTGCTGAAGGTGGAAGTGTTTAGTTGGGCCTATTCCAGCGATGTTATAGAAAAAGATACTCAGCAGTTGGGGCAGAGATTTCCACCTTGCAAGGCAAGAGTTTCTTTACCACTTTGTATGTGTATTCTTTTTTTTTTTTTTTTTTTTGAGACGGAGTTTTGCTTTTGTTGCCCAGGCTGGAGTGCAGTGGCACGATCTCAGCTCACTGCAATCTCCACCTCCCAGGTTCAAGCAGTTCTCCTGCCTCAGCCTCCCGAGTAGCTGGGATTACAGGCGCCCACCATGCCTGGCTAATTTTTAGTAGAGATGGGGTTTCTCCATGTTGGTCAGGCTGGTCTTGAACTCCTGACCTCAGGTCATCTGCCCAGCTTGGCCTCCCAAAGTGCTGGGATTATAGGCCGAGAGCCACCACTCCCAACCATGTGTGTTACTTTCTTAGTACAGAAATATACATGGATATGTGCATTTAAAAGTCATCAGCATCATTCTTGTAGAGGAGCCTGAAAAAAACCTTTTTTATTTTATTTTATTATTATTTTTTGTGACAGTCTTGCTCTGTCGCCCAGACTACACTGCAGTGACACGATCAAGACTCACTGCAGCCTTGACCTCCCAGGCTTAAGTGATCCTCCCTCCTCAGCCCCCCAACTCGCAGGGACCACAAAAAATTCTGTATTTGGAAAATTTTAAGCATTTTTACAATGTAGGAAGAACAGTATAATGAATCCCCATTACCTAAATTCAACTTCAGTAACTATCAACGTTGTGTCAATTCCAAAGGAATTTTTAATAAAAAATTTTTAAGGGACACATAATTCCCTCCCGTAATTTACAGATAGATGATCTCTGTTTTTCAGAAGAGATATAGCAGCCTTATTGTACTTAGCTTTAGTCCTCACAACCTATTAATTTCATCTGATCCCCAAAAGAAAAGTAAATAATTACATGACGTGAGGGAGCAGGGATGAACATGATTTCTTCTGCCTCATTTAGATTTTCCTGATGGCCTCCTAGAGCACTAGACCCTGGCTGTCTTACCTGAAATAGTTCAGCAGGCTCGTTACCATATCCCAACCACCCACTCCTTACCACCTGCCTTGCTACCATTACACTGATCTTTAATTATGACGAGAATCTCATTGTGTTTATCCTCTGTTTAAAACTTCCTTGGGGCCAGGCCTGATGGTTCACACCTGTAATCCCACACTTTGGGAGGCTGATAGGGGGATCATTTGAGACCAGGAGTTTGTGACCAGCCTGGGGAACATAGCAATACATCGTCTCTACAAAAAAGTTTAAAAAGTTAACCAGACATGATAGTATATCCCTGTAGTCCTAGCTACTCGAGAGGCTGAGGTAGGAGGATCACTTGAGCCCAGGAGTTCAAGGCTGTAGTGAGGTATGATAGTAGCAATGTAGTAATGCCACTGTACTCCAGCTTGGGCAGCAGAGCAAGAACCTTTCTCTTAAAAAAACCTTCCTTTGTTCTTCCTTCCCTACCTATAAAATAAAACCCAAAATCATAGGTTTTCATTCATAATCTGGTTGCAGCCTATCTTTCTAACCTTCTCTTCCACTGTCTATCTCTTCTCTACTATTTTAAGCTTCCTGGTATTCCTAGAATATGTAACCCATTTTAGGGCTTGTACTTATTTTACAGGATCCCATTTAGATATCAACTTGTGGATGAGGCCGTTTTAACTACCCTAGAAAAAAGTAGTTTGTAAGTTTGTTTTTATTTTATGTGTGTTTGTGTATGTGTGTGATGCCACTTAACTGAGTTATACTTAGTTAGCAGTGTAGGTTTACTGCCCTCCTCACTCTCAGTTAGACAGTGATCTCTTCGAGAGCAGGAATTATATCTTATTCTTGTCTCCTAAATACTTCTTTGGTGCCTGCATGTAGTAGGCATCCAATAATGGTTTGTTGAATGAATGTATTCACACTTCTAGAATTTTATAACCTAATTCTAAAACAAGTTCTCTCCAAACAGGAAGAGTTAATTAAAGTTTGGTTTTGTATATTTTTATTTTGTATATTTTTCTCTCCTCTCCTTGAGGACTTTTGTTAAAATGTCTAAAGAGAGTCTAGTTCTGTAGTTTTTTTCTTTAGGGGAAAATATACTTTGGTAAACTAGTGTAGCATATCCATCTTCAATAATCCTATAGTAAAGGTAAGTGAAATCTACTTTCAGTATAATTATTTTTTTCTATTGGACAATATTGTTTTATTTTGTGAGTTGGAATAGATTTGTGCTATACAGCCTATATAGTAGCCTTGACTAATTTTTGATATATTTCAGCTCATGGAATGCTGTGTAAATGCCCTGGTGACATCATTTAAAGAGACTATCTTAGCTGAGTGCCAAGGCATGATCAAGAGAAATGAAACTGAAAGTAGGTAAAACATCACATAAAGTTATCATAATCTTCTAAGAGGGTATCTTTGAAACAAATCATTTAGTAAGTTGCTCTTAGATAATTCTTTTCCACATAGGTATATGTGGAACTGTTAGAGTGAACTATACTTAAGGAAATAGATAAAATATTTAACACAGAGGCAACTGCTAAAGAGTATATAAACTTAAATTTTAAACATTTTCCCTCTTAGCTATCGACATCTGTGTATGTGTATGGTGAATTTCTACTTTTTTCTGAAAAACAAGATACTGCTTTTAAAGGCCAGTTTAAACTGGAAACATATGTTATAGATTAGAACCAGGTATTTGACTTTTGTGTGGAACCTTGTGATCAATCTTTTTAGAAAGTAATAAAACACTCCATGTTAATAGTCTTCATCTCTATCCCCAAAAATACTTTTACGATTTCTAAAGGATTTTTTTATTGCTTCAATGTTTTCTTAAAAAGATGTGTTTTGAGAGGTAGCAAGTATATAACAAACTAAAAAAAACAAAAATTGCACATATACCTACTACCCCAGTAAAACTGCTTTTAACGTTTTTTTACTTTTGTTTTTTAAATAACTTCTGCTGAGTTTCCAGATTTTGTTTTATTTAACTGCAAGGTCCTCCTATTTAATCTCTAGTTACTTTTAAAGTACGTATTTCAATTCACTTAAGTTCATACACTTTTTAGGAGTAATTCAGTAGTAAAAAGCAAGCTGCTTTATTGGCATAAACAAAATACTTGTATTCTTTGTATTCTTTGTGCCAGTCTACTTAGAGTTATGTCTGATCTATGTTGCACTTTTTTCGAAAGGTTTTTTTAGTGGTATTCAGTACCGTGAGTTAGGGTTTTTGTGAAGGTCAATAAAATGGCATAACATGAAAAAGTGCTTTGTAAATTGAAAAATTCTTTATGGATACAGTTTTATATTCTAATCTCTAATACAGTTGCTTTCATAATTATTACTCATGTTATTTTTTACCTTTTGATGATGTGGCTGTATATTTAATATTACATCTACCTTATGAAATATACTAATCTTGTGTGTAAATAAATATTCCTTTGCATTGAAAATCGAATGACTCACCTTTTCTTTTTCTTTTTGTTTTTTTTTTTTTTGGAGACGGAGTCTCGCTCTGTTGCCCAGGCTGGAGTGCAGTGGCCGGATCTCAGCTCACCGCAAGCTCCGCCTCCCGGGTTCACGCCATTCTTCTGCCTCAGCCTCCGGAGTAGCTGGGACTACAGATGCCCGCCACCTCGCCTGGCTAGTTTTTTGTATTTTTTAGTAGAGACGGGGTTTCACTGTGTTAGCCAGGATGGTCTCGATCTCCTGACCTTATGATCCGCCCGTCTCGGCCTCCCAAAGTGCTGGGATTACAGGCGTGAGCCACCGCGCCCGGCCAACTCACCTTTTCTTTTGAGACTGGGTCTCACCATGTTGCCCAAGCTGGAATGCTGTGGCACGATCACAACTCGCTATAGCCTTGACCTCCTGGACTCAAGTGATCCTCCCACCTTCCAGCCTCCTGAGTAACTGGGACTACAGCCGTGTACCACCATGCCTGGCTAATTTTTGTATTTTTTGTAGAGTCAGAGCCTCACCATGTTGCCCAGGCTGCTGTCCCCTGCATCTGGCTAAATGACTGAGCTTTTAAAGAAAGGAGTTGGGTTTTGCAGTATTTGATCACTTTTTTTATTTTTATTTTTTGAGACTATCTTGCCCTGTCACCCAGTCTGAGTGCAATGGTGCAATCATGGTTCACTGCAGCCACAGCCTCCTGGGCTCAGGCAGTCCTCACACTTCAGCCTCCCAAGTATCTGGGATCAAAGACATGCACCACCACACCCAGCTAATATTTGTTTGTTTGTTTTGTGTGTGTGTGTGTGTGTGTGTGTGTGTGTGTGTGTGTGTAGCGATGGGTTTTGCCATGTTGCCCTGGCTGGTCTTTTTAACTCCTGGGCTCAAATGATCTTCCCACCTTGGCTTCCCGAAGTGCTGGAATTAAAAATGTGAACCACCACACCCAGCCTGATCACTTTTAATTTGATTTTTTTTAAACATAATTTTTAGACCAAGTGCAGTGGCTCACACCTATGATCCCAGCACTTTGAGAGACCAAGGCGAGAGGATTGTGTGAGCCCCGAAGTTTGAGACCAGCTTGGACAACATTGGCAGATGCTGTCTCTACAAAATTACAAAAAACATTAGCCAGTGGTCCCAGCTACTCAGGAGGCTGAGGTGGGAGGATTGCTTGCGCCCAAGAGGTCAAGGCCGCAGTGAGCCATGATCGAGCCACTGTACCCAGCTTGGGTGACAGAGTGGGACCCTGTCTCAAAAACAGAAAAACAGCAACAAAAAAAAAACTACTCCTAATTACATTGTATCCACAGAATACTATTAACATTACAAACTTTTAACTAATGTTTCTCTAAATTCTTATTCTAGTAGATGAAATGATTACATGAATGTGTTCTGTCCTTCCAGAGTTACATTTAATGTTTTCATTGATGGACAAAGTTCCTAATGGTATAGAGCCAATGTTGAAAGACTTGGAGGAACATATCATTAGTGCTGGCCTGGCAGATATGGTAGCAGCTGCTGAAACTATTACTACTGTAAGTTTATTTTTAATGGCAATGATAGAGATATGTCAAGGCTATTTTTTAAATGCAGGATTGAATAGTGAGTGGTTACCAGAGGCTGGGGGTTGGGGGACCAGAAGAGGTTGGTTAGTGGGGTATAAAGTTATAGTTCAATAGGAAGAATAAGTTTTGGTGTTCTGTGACCCAGCAGGGCAGCTGTAGCAAGTAAGAATGTAGTGTATATTTCAAGAAAGTTAGAAGAGATTTTTATGTTGTTACCACAAAGAAATTATAAATGTTTGAAGTGATGGATATAGTAGTTACCCCAATTTGATCATTATACTGTATATACATGCATTGAAATATAACATTGTACCTCATATGTACAGTTATGTGTTGATTACAAATAAGAACATTAAATTTTTAAAAATGCAGAATTGAAAATTGATACTATTTTCTCAGTAAAACCGGGGGCCGGGCACGGTGGCTCACACCTGTAATCCCAGCACTTTGGGAGGCCGAGGCAGGCAGATCACAAGGTCAGGAGATCGAGACCATCCTGGCTAACATGGTGAAACCCCGTCTCTACTAAAAATACAAAAAAATAGCCAGGCGTGGTGGCTGGGTGCCTGTAGCCCTAGCTACTCGGGAGGCTGAGGTAGGATAATGGCGTGAACCCTGGAGGTAGAGCTTGCAGTGAGCCCAGATGGCACCACTGCATTCCAGCCTGGGCGACAGAGCAGACTGTCTCTCAAAAAAAACACAAAGGAAGAAAGAAAAAAAAAAGAAGTGGCAAAACAGTAATATTGGACCACCTTTTAGTTTTATTTTTAAGAAAAAATATCCCCAGTTTTAAATGAGTTTTATTAAAAATTATGTTTATATTTTCTCATTTTTTTGTGTGTTCTTTTTCTTTTAAAAACTTAATATAAAACCTTTTGTTTCTAGGACTCTGAGAAATATGTGGAGCAGTTACTTACGCTATTTAATAGATTTAGTAAACTCGTCAAAGAAGCTTTTCAAGATGATCCACGATTTCTTACTGCAAGAGATAAGGTATATATTCCTATATATATAAAAAATACTGTTTTAAAAGTTTTACCCTCATAATTTACTTCTAATAATCAATTTGTATTATTTTGCTATTATAAACTTAAAAATCTAGCAACTGTTATTTTTCATCAGTGGGGAACAACTGTATTTGTTTTGTTTGTAAGCATTCGTTAAGCATTTGATAGCCTTGTGAATTAGAATTTATTAGAAAGTTGCTTTTTCCTCATTTTTCCAAGAATGTTTTTCTGTTTTTGAATATTACTGATCTATTGAATTCCTATTCATCCTTCCATTAAGACCCAGCTCAAAGAATACTTCCCCTGGAGCTTCCTTGATAGCCTGCCTCGCTCCACAGCTCATCACAAGCAGAACTGATTCTTCCATCCTCCATCCTTTCATGGGGCTCCTTCAAGAGTTACGTTATACTTATCCTTGTTTCCCAGGGAAGCATTTGTATTGCATACCATCTTTTTCCATCCTCACTAGTATAGAATAATGATAATGAAACACCATACTGTCCTTAGCATTTTATCTTTTTCAGTGTAATAAACCTATAACAAGAAATTGCAGCTAGTTTTTTCTCTTCTTTGACTACCTTTCATTACTTCCCAAGTCTGAATGATTCTAAAAAGACAACTTTCTCCAGTAGGATTTTTTTCTCTTTTTGTCTATTTTAATTTTTTTTTTTTTTGAGATTGAGTTTCACTCTTGTTGCCCAGGCTTGAGTGCAATGGCATGATCTTGGTTCGCTGCAACTTCCACCTCCTGGGTTCAAGCGATTCTTCTGCCTCAGCCTCTTGTGTAGCTGGGATTACAGGCAGCCACCACCATGCCCGGCTAATTTTTGTATATTTACTAGAGGCAGGGTTTCATCATGTTGGCCAGGCTGGTCTCGAACTCCTGACCTCAGGTATCGGCCCACCTCGGATCCCAAAGTGCTGGGATTACAGGCCTGAGCCACTGTGCCCAGCCTCTTTTTGTCTATTTTAAAACAAACAAATAGGCTGGGCGCGGTGGCTCACGCCTGTTATCCCAGCACTTTGGGAGGCCAAGGCGGGCGGATCACCAGAGGTGAGGAGTTCGAGATGAGCCTGACCAACATGGAGAAACCCTGTCTCTACTAAAAATATGAAAAATTAGCTGGGCGTGGTGGAACATGCCTGTAATTCCAGCTACTCAGGAGGCTGAGGCAGGAGAATTGCTTGAACCCTGGAGGTGGAAGTTGTGGTGAGCTGAGATTGTGCCATTGCACTCCAGCCTGGGCAACAAGAGCAAAACTCCATCTCAAAAAATAAATAAATAAAATAAAACAAATACATAAGTAGGTAAAGTAGGAAAGGAGTTAAGGGAGTATAGAAATGGTGGGGTGGTGTGAAGTCTTAAATTGAGTAGCCTGCAAAGGCTTCATAGGAAGCCAGATCATATAAGACTCTGAGCCATGGTAAGGAGTTAGTTTTTACTGCGAGTAGGATGGGAAGTCATTTAAAAATTTTAAACAGAATGGTAGGATGTGATTTATGTATTAACAGGATCGCTCTGACTGTTGCAAAAAATAGACTGAAGGGAAGAAAGAAGGAAGAATACCAGTTAAGAACTTATTTAAATAATTCAATTAAATGATGATGGAGGCTTGTCCCAGAGTGATGGTAGAGGTGGTCAAAAGTAGTTCGATAATTCTCTCTTTTTTTTTTTTTTAAATGCAAGTAGCTTATTTGGGAAATGCAGGGATGATAGTGTGGCATACTATTAAGTCAGCTGTACAGTGAGCTACTTGAACTTAATTCTGCAAGGAAACTTACTAAAAACACTGCTCAAAATTACCTCACCTATCAAGTGTTGAGTTCTTGAAATTTCCTGCCTGCCATTTGCATAGGCAACACATATTTCTGCAGTTTTACAAAAAACACCTTTGGGTGCGTGTGCAGATACTAATAGTGGGAAAAGTCTAAGGGATGTGGGGAGGTTTGACAGCATCTGCTACACCAGGTATGTGGCTTGGAATTGGAAAATAAAAATGACAGCAGGCTTTAGAAGTGACTTGTCAGGGAGGTTCACTCTGTCGCCCAGGCTGGAGTGCAGTGGTGCAATCATAGCTGACCGCAGCCTTGAGCTCCTGGGCTCAAACAATCCTCCCGCCTTAGCCATCTGAGTTTCTGGGACTGTGAGCACACACAACCACACCTGGCTAGGTGTTTAGAGTTTTTCTGTAGAGACAACATCTAGCTATGTTGTTCGGGCTGGTCTTGAACTCCTGCGTTGGCCTTCCAGAGTTCTGGGATTATAGACGTGAGCCATCACCCTGGCCCGCTTTCCCTTTAAATCATGTTCTTTGAGAACTCTTCACCCACACTGATGCTGTCTCAGTCCTGTCATCTCACTGGTGAAGGAAATAAACATATCCATCATCTCACATAGTTACCCATTTTCTTGTTTTGTTTTGTTTTTGTGGCAAGAGCACCCAAAGTCTACTTAGCATGAATCCAGTATACAATATAATTTGAATTTGTTCTGTTTTATTTATTTATTTTGAGACAGTTTTGCTCTGTCACCCAGGCTGGAGAGAGTGCAGTGGCACAACATGGCTCACTGAGCTTCGACCCCTCTGGGATCAGGTGATCTTCCCACCTCAGCCTCCTGGGTAGCTGGGACTACAGGCATGCACCACTATGTTTGGCTAATTTGTAATTTTTTTTGTGGAGATGAGTTCTCATTATGTTGTCCGGGCTGGTCTTGAACTCCTGGGCTCAAGCGATCCATCCACCACAGCCTCCCAAAGTGCTAGGATTACAAGCATGAGCCACTATGCCCAGCCCAGTATAATTTTACTACCTATAGTTCTCATGCTGTACATCAGCTCTCTAGACTTTTTTCATCCTGTGTATCTGCTACTTTGTATCATTTGACCTACATTTCCTTGTTTCTTTCCCACCCATTTTACCTCTGGTACTACTCTTTTGTTCCTCTCACTGTGTATTTGAATTTTTTTTAGGTTCTACATATAAGTGAGATCATGCAGTATTTTTCTTCCTGTGTCTGGCTTATTTCACTTAGCATAAGGTCTTCCAGGCTTCTGTAGTATATATGTACCAGTTTCTTTATCCACTGATGGACACTAAGGTTGTGTCCATATTTTGGCTATTGTGAATAATGCAGTGAATGTGGGAGTGCAGTTATCTTTGTGAAGTGGTGATTTCATTTCCTTTGGGTATATGCCTAGAAGAGGGATTGCTGGGATTATGATTATGTTATGAAGATAGACTATTCAGGATTTGCTATTAAATCAGATGTAGAATGCGATAGAGACTAGTCAGGGATGACACTCAGATTCATGTACTGATCAATTAGAAGGATATGTTCATTGCGATAAGGAAGACTGTAAGAGAAATAGGTTTAGGAGAGATTGTTGCAGAGAGATCAGAAACTCAGTTTTGAATAAGTTAACTTTGAAATATCTGTTAAACATCCGTGTAGTAATGTTGAGTCTGGAGCTTAAGAGAGAGAATGGAGCTGGAAAAATATGTTTGGCAGCTTCAGCATATTTAAAATGGCTTTTAAAGCACTGACACAGGCTGTAATCACCAAAATAATGAGTGGAGATAGAAAAGAGGACAGGTCCAAGGATTGGCCTAGGGCATTCTGATATTTCATTGTTAGAAAAATGAGGAGTCCTCTTTCATGAGAAGGAAGGAATGACCAGGAGAATGTTATGTGCTAGAAGGCAAGTGAAAAAAAGTACTTTCAGGGGGAGGGTGTGATCCGCTGTTTTAAAATGCTGGTAATAAATCAAATAAGATGGAGATTAACTGTTATCTTCATCAACATGGAACTGCAAGTGACTTTAACAAGAACCTTGTGTGTAGGCTGGGTGTGGTGGCTCACGCCTGTAATCCAGCACTTTGAGAGGCTGAGACGGGTGAATCACTTTAGGTCAGGAGTTCAAGACCAGCCTAGCCAACATGGTGAAACCCTGTCTGTACTAAAAATACAAAAATTAGCTGGGCACAGTGGTGCGCACCTGTAATTCCAGCTACTCAGGAGGCTGAGACAGGAGAATCACTTGAACCCGGGAGGCGGTGGTTGCAGTGAGCTGAGATCAGTACCACTGCACTCCACCCTGGGCAACAAGAGTGAAACTCTGTCTCCAAAAAAAAAAAAAAAGGAGAAGAAGATCTCACTTGAGGCTAGGCATGGTGGCTCACCCCTGTAATCCCAGCACTTTGGGAGGCCAAGGCAGGCAGATCACCTGAGGTCAGGAGTTTGAGACCAGCCTGGCCAACATGGTAAAACTCCATCTCTACTGAAAATACAAGTTAGCCAGGCGTAGTGGTGGGCACCTGTAATCCCAGCTACTCGGGAGGCTTAGGCAGGAGAATCGCTTGAATCCAGGAGGTGGAGGTTGCAGTGAGCGGAGATCGCGCCACTGCACTCCAGCCACTGTACTCCAGCCTGGTCGACAGAGTGAGACTTCATCTCAGAAAAAAAAAAAAAAAAAAAAGCCTCACTTGAGAATATTGATAATTATGATACGACAAAGAACTTGCTAAAGTCTTTGACTAGGCAAATTATTTGGTCAGATATACCATTAGAAATAAAAACTAACAGTTTTATGTGTTTTGAGATGTATAAAAATTTATCTGTATATTTTAAATAGTAAAAATATTTTATTCCAAATTGTTTTTGCAGGCATATAAAGCAGTTGTTAATGATGCTACCATATTTAAGCTTGAATTACCTTTGAAGCAGAAGGGGTAAGTTTTTTAAAACCATACTTTAAAAATACTTAAATTTTCTTTAGTGTAAGAGGGATTAACTAGGTGTGCAAAGTACCTTGTTAGGTTTGTTTTTGTTATTGTTAGTTTTATAACTTTTGCTGCTTTTGGCTGTTAAAGTTCATTTATAATTTTTTATTAAATTATTTTACAATACAAAAATTGACTATTCTTTCAAGTAGAAAAAAAAATTCCTAATCTTTTAGGATATCTGTTTTTCCCTCATTAGTCACTAAAAGTATTCTATTACCCATGGAAGCATAGAAAATGACTCAATTTACCATAATGATATAAAAAGAACTCGGTTTTAATGTAAATTTTCCTATTACCATTTAAAAAAATTGTTCTGTAATTGGTAAGATGAATATGCCTGTGCTAAGCATAGCTTATAGAAAATCTGACAACTGAAATCTGAGCTAGTTATAGCACTTTCAGAGTAGTACTAAATAGCAATAAAGGTTAATCGAAAAAAATCTTTTGATGTACTTCTGAGAATTACTAATTTAAAGAAATTTTACATATAATGCTAAAATATTTGAAAAATACTGAAAAATAGCGTTTCTTAAGAAGGAAAAGTAATCAGGTATTTTTCATTTAGTGTTTTCATTTTGTCTTTTTTGAGCAGTGTATGTTGCTTGAGTAATAAAATGGAAGACATCTGAGTCATACCATATTATAATACTGACATATTTTAAAAGGGCATATATTATGTTCTCTTTTATAAACTGTGAAATATGTGAAACATAGCACTGCGTCTTGACCATCTCTTCACATGAGTAGATAGATCTTCTTCATTCTCTTTCACCCATTTTTTGTATTTTTTATTTATTTATTTTATTTATTTATTTATTTATTTATTTGAGGCAGGGTCTCACTCTGTCACCCAGGCTGGAGTGCAGTGGTGCAACCTCAGCTCACTGCAACCTTTACCTCCTGGATTCAAGCAATTCTTCCGCCTCCGCCTCCCGAGTAGCTGGGATTATAGGCACACGCCACCATGTCCGGCTGATTTTTTTGTATTTTTAGTGGAGACAGGGTTTCGCCATATTGGCCAGGCTGGTCTCAAACTCCTGACCTCAAGTGATCCTCCCACCTCAGCCTCCCAAAGTGCTGGGATTACAGGCATGAGCCACCGCACCGAGTCCCAAGCACTTTTTTAATGAAAATGTTCAGACTTACAATAGAGTTACTGTAGTTGCTTTATCAAGTATGTATCTCCCTGTATATAACCATCAGTCAACTTAAGTGTGTTTCTAAAGAGGTTGCAAGCATCAGTAACCTTTAGTCCCTAAATACTTCAGCATGCAGTAATTTATTAAATTGGATGTTTATGTTTTTAGGTAAAATTTACATACAGTCCCATGCATAAATCTTAAGTGTACGTTTGAGTCAGATTTGACAAATGCCTATACCCCTATTAATGTGTATGAAGTCTTTATCATCATACAAAATTACCTCATGTCTATCCCCAGTCAGTCCCACCCTACCTCCTTCCAGAGGCATCTGCTGTCCTGATTAATTCCCTCAATATGGATTAGTTTTGCCTAATCTAGGACTTTGTATAAATGGGATCATACACTGTATTTTTTGTGTAAAGCTTCTTTCATTCAGCATTGTGTTTTTGAAATTCTTTTATGTTTTGGCATGTAACAGTAGTTTGCTTTCCGAAGTGGTTATTCTGTTTTATTCTTCCACCAATAGAGTATGAGAGTACCAGCTGATCCTCATTCTCACCAATGTTTCATGTTCTTTTAACTTTAGTCATCTGGGATGTATGTAGTAGTAGTATTAATGTTTTAATTCCCATCTCCCTCATGACTCTTGATGTTCAGCAATTTTTCATCTTTTGTTTGGTAGGAGGCATTCGTGTATTTTCCCTTATGAAGGGTCATCATAGCTCACTGCAGCCTTCACCTCCTGGGCCTAAGCAGTCCTCCTGGTTCAGCCTCCTGAGTAGCTGGGACTACAGGCACACACCACCATACTTGACTAATTTCTTTCAGAGATGAGGTCTTGCTATGTTGCTTAGGCTGGCCTCAAACTCCTGGCCTCAAGAGATCCTCCTGCCTCAGCCTCCCAAAGTGTTGAGCTTACAGGCATGAGCTACCATGCCCAGGCCTTTTGCCCTTTTTTTTTTTTTTTTTTTTTTGGTTGTTTGAGATGGAGGCTTGTTCTGTCGCCAGACTGGAGTGCAATGGTGTGATCTTGTCTCACTGCAACCTCCGCCTCCTGGGTTCAAGTGATTCTCTTGCCTCAGCCTCCCGAGTAGCTGGGACTACAGGCGTGTGCCACCATGCCCAGCTAATTTTTGTGTTTTTAGTAGAGATGGAGTTTCACCATGTTGGCCAGGATGGTCTCGATCTCTTGACCTTGTGATTTGCCCACCTTGGCATCCCAGAGTGCTGGGATTACAGGCATGAGCCACTGTGCCTGGCCCTTTTGCCCATTTTTAATTGGATTCTTTGTCTTTGTTGCTGAGTTGTAAGAGTTCTTTATATATTCTGGTACTAGATCCGTATCAGATATATGATTTGCTAATATTTTCTCCCATTCTGTAAGTTGTCTTTTCATTTTCTTGATACTGTCCTTTGATGCACAAAAGCTTTTAATTTTGATTAAGTTCAGTTTACCTATTTTTTTTCTTTTGTTACTTTTGCTTTTGGTTTCATATTTAGATCATGAAGATTTGTTACTTTTTTTTTTTTTTTTTTTTTTTAAGAGTTGTATAGGGCCAGACACAGTGGCTCACACCTGTAATCCCAGAACTTTGGGAGGCCAAAGCAGGTGGATCACTTGAGGTCAGGAGGTCAGGAGTTCAAGACCAGCCTGGCCAAGATGGTGAAACCCTGTCTCTACTAAAAGTACAAAAAATTAGCCAGGTGTGGTAGTTCATGCCTCTAATCCCAGCTACTTGGGAGGCTGAGACAGGAGAATCGTCGGACTCTGGGAGGCAGAGTTTGCAGTGAGCTGAGATCATGCCATTACACTCCGGCCTGGGTGACAGAATGAGACTTCATCTCAACAACAACAAAAAAGGGTTTTATAGTTTTGGCTTTTATATTTCAGTCATTGATCCATTTTGAGTTAGTTTTTGTATATGTTGTGAGATATAGATCCAACTTCATATTTTTGCATATGGATATCCAGTTGTTCCAGCACTCATTGAACAGTCTTTGCTCCATTATGAAAAATCAGTTGACCGCTGGGCTCAGTGGCTCACACCTGTAATCCCAGCACTTTGGGAGGCCAAGGTGGGCAGATCACAGGTCAGGAGATCAAGACCATCCTGGCTAACACGGGGAAACCCCATCTCTAAAATACAAAAAATTATCCGGGCATGGTGGCAGGCGTATGTAGGATACAAAGAATTAGCCGGGCGTGGTGGCGGGTGCCTGTAGTCCCAGCTACTCGGGAGTCTGAGGCAGGAAAATGGCGTGAACCTGGCAGGCAGAGCTTGCAGTGAGCTGAGATGGCGCCACTGCACTCCAGCCTGGGTGAGAGTGCGAGACTCTGTCTCAAAAAAAAAAAAAAAAAAAAAAAAATCAGTTGGCCATGGATGTATGTGTTTATTTTTGGATGCTTAGTTCAGTTCCATTGGTCTATATATTTGTCCTTATGCTGGTGCCACATTGTTGTGATTTACTGTAGCCTTGCAATAAGCTTTGAAAGCAAGACGTGTGCATGTTTCAACTTTGTTCTTTTTCAAGATCATTTTGGCTATTTGGGTTCCCTTCTAATTCTGTATGAATTTGAGCATCAGCTTTTCCGTTTCTGTGAAAAAGACCTTTGGAATTTTGATAGGAAATGCATTGAATTGTATTAATGTTATGTCTCCCAATTATGAAAATGGAATTTTTTTTGTTTGTTTTTTATATTTCTTTCAGCAACGTTTTATAGCTTTCAGTGTACAAGTCTTCCACATTCTTGGTTAAATTTATTCCTTGATATTTTCTTTGGATGCTGTTATAAATTGAATTGCTCTTCCTTCCTCCCTCCTTCCTTTCCTTCCCTTCCCTTCCCTTCCCCTTCCCTCCTTTTCCCTTTCCCATCCATCTTCTTTCTTTTTTTTTTTTTTTTTTTTTAAGGCAAGGTCCATTATGTCACCAAGGCTGGAGTGCAGTGGCGCAGTCATGGCTCACTGCAGTCTTGCTCTCCTGGGCTCAAGTGATCCTCCCACCTCAGCCTTCTGAGTAGCTAGGACCACAGGTTCAGGCCACCACACCTGGCTAATTATTTTTGGTAGAGATAGTCTCTCACCGTGTTGCCCAGGCTGGTCTTGAACTCCTGGGCTCAAGTGGTTCTCCCACCTCAGCCCCTCAAAGTGCTAGGATTATGGACAGGAGCCACCGTGCCGAACCTGGAATTGTTTTCTTTTTTTTTTTTTTTTTTTTGGAGGCGGAGTCTTCACTCTGTCACCCAGGCTGGAGTGCAGTGGCTCGATCTCGGCTCACTGCAAGCTCCGCCTCCCGGGTTAGCGCCATTCTCCTGCCTCAGCCTCCCGAGTAGCTGGGACTACAGGCACCCGCCATCGCGCCCGGCTAATTTTTTTTTGTATTTTAGTAGAAACGGGGTTTCACCGTGTTAGCCAGGATGGTCTCGATCTCCTGACCTCGTGATCCGCCCGCCTCGGCCTCCCAAAGTGCAGGGATTACAGGCGTGAGCCACCGCGCCCGGCCTGGAATTGTTTTCTTAATTTCCTTCTGGATTGTTCATTGCTGGTGTATAAAAAAAAAAAATGATTTTTTTTTTCCTGTTTCTTTTTTTTTCAGGCAGCGTTTCGCTCTGTCACCTAGGCTGGAGTGCAATGGCATGATCACAGCTCACTGCAGCCTTCCCCTCCTGGGCTCAAGCCTCCACCTTCTGAGTACCTGGGACTAAGGGCCATACCACCATGCCCGACTAATTTTTTTTTTGAGACAGCATCTTGCTGTGTTGCCCAGTCTGGTCTTGAACTCCTGGGTTCAAGTGAGCCTCCTGCC